AAAAAACTTTTTTGGAGAGAGGAGGTGGGGTGAGTTGGTGAGGGTGGGGAAGGTTGAGAAGAAGTTTTGGAAAATATTTTCCTTCTCTTGATAAGGAAAATGAGTTCATGAGTAAAATGTTTTCCAAAACATTTAAGCCAACCAAATATGAAAAAATTGGAAAATATTTTCCTTCATAGCAAACACACCAACAACAACATCCCAATATAATCCTACCAGTGGGGTCTGGGGAGGATAGTATGTACGCAGACCTTACCCCTACTCCGAGGGGCAGAGAGGTTGTTTCCAAGAGCAAACACACCCTAAGAGTAAAATGGATAAAATGAAGATTTTAAAGTTAAATTATTTCTAAATTTAGAAATGTTTTATTTATTTTGGTACTAAAAATGAAAATACCTCATCNATATATATATATATATATCAGTATATTATATACAAATATATAAATTCATACACTTGTGCAGCTACCTGATATAAATAATTTCGACCGATAACTAAAAATAATCTTTGCCCTTTTATCTTTTAACATAATTAAGATAGAGAGTAGAATCGCAAATAGTTTAAGATTTAACCCTAACAATAAAATAATAATCTGCTATAGTCAATTAAATAATATCAATAATTCAAATAACTTAACTCTTACATATAGGGGCAGAGCTAAAGGGAGGAAATGGTGTTCAATTGAATCCCTTTCACCATCATAAGGAAATATTCTAATATAGTGGTAAAGGTAGTTAAAAGTCATTTTAGATCACATTTTAAAATTCTAGTTGTGGCGCTTCAATATTTTTTTAATCTTTTATTTTGAATTTCCTCGTATAACTTTCTAGCTCCACAAATGCTTAAATATATATTCTATTTATATGTACTTTTTTCTTTTTAACGTATGCACATGGATAACTTACCCTTGTAAGGAGTTCAAACTAAACCACGAACTTCATGTTGCCTCGGTGTGGACATCTGGACAATAAACAATTTATCTACTAGTTCCTAACATGATATAATTCACTCAATATTCACTAGACGACAATAAAACCAAGATATAGGCCTACCCTTGAATAATTAATAAAATTTTAATTATAAAAAGCTTCTTATGAAACAAAGAGACACTACAATAATTTGCATAATTTAGGAAATATGAATTATGATTGATGGAGCTATGATTTCGCCCAAAACAACTTAGAAGAACTCGTACCGTCTGATGCAATCAAACCTCAGGAGTACGATAATATGTTACTATACCAAGAATTAACTAATTTGGAAGAAATTTTCTATAAATTATCGCCTTCTACCTTTTCCTAGGTAAAGCAATATCCTACATCCCATCTTCAAGGCTTTCAATGGTATAGTACATCATGCAATACGTGATAAATAGTGCCTAGTAACCTACAAGTACCCCAAATCAAATGTATGCTAACTCTTCTCATCAAAATCTCGACAACTTTTGAGCCACTTCCAACGTAAGGTTTTTGTCTATCCTCCTATTTGATGAAATTGAAACTTTAGGCAAGTGCTTTCTAAATACATGTGTTTCATGCATTCAGCGTGACAACGCTTCTAACCCCTAAAATCACTAAAAATATTGCAAAATTTACCAGCCTTCCACCAGCTTATAAGGACACCTAATAAGTCAATCCCTCCGCCACTGGCTTCATTTGAAGAGCCTGGCAACAGCTTATCAAGAGATGCCAGTACAAATGATGAAGTCTTGAGTCTGCATTTTTAAGGGTGCATCGGTCTCTTTGGATAAATCTAACTGTCCACAATTTCATATCCCACCAATGAAGAATTACCTCCACAAACACTAGCCTCAATCACACATGCAATCATTTCTGGGCCGTCGCCTCCAAATCAGACAAGATCTCATTCATCTCCTCAAAGTAAGGCCATTTTTCCTGGCTTTTCTTATCACTCTTGCTTTCCTGTTACAGAATAGCAAAAAACTGTTAAAAGTAGGCATCTTATCACTCGATTGAGGAAGAACTTCCAAACATTCAACAAGGTACGCGGTGAAAGGCGAATCTTCAACTAAAAGGAAATATACAAATATTCCATGTGTGTCTATTTTGTTTTTGCGGTCTCCATTTTTCCTACAATTCAAGAAATGGATAATCTTATTTCTCTCCTTTTTGTCCTAAGAGGTCACAACACACCATAACAAAAGGGTATCTATCCCTTTTTTCACTTCTATATCCGCAGAAAAATAAATAATGTGACATCCTTCAGGAAAAAATTGTTCTGAAAAGGATAGTCATTTAAAATGCATGGTTTTATGGTTTTATTGTGATATATTATTTCTCCCAATAAAGTTTGAGCATGCTAACCAACACTACCAAGTAAATATACACGCGCTCAAGGATGAAACAAAAAAGAAACACTCACCTCATACTTTTGAACTAGA